ACACACTAAATGAGCAGTAAAGTAAATGCTAACACCATGGAGAAAGGGCTAAATTAAATTGCTGGTTTTGGGGCTATGTATATGCTAACAGTGATAATAGTACTATGTTCTTGTAATTTGCCCTTTCCAGACAACTTTTTTGTGTGTTATACATGAGAGAATACAAGGTCCCAGATAACAATCAAATAAAGCAAAACTGTGCAAACTCACATTCTTTCAATCCTGTTATATATACCCTAACTATATCTAAAAACTTTGATTACAGGTACAATACTGCTAAATCTTGCAAAATGTGATTGTGTATAAAGGACATACAAAATAAGATTACTCTCTAGAATACAAAAAGTTTGGGGACAGCAAATTTGTGTTGAAGGGGTCATAAAAGGCCTAAGATGCGCCACTTTGGCACTGAAGGCAATCAGGACTGTGGGCTTAAGAGAAACGTTTCTCTCTCCCTTAAAAAATGTCATCTCTAGAGATATCTTTATGACTGATCTATAGGGCATGACAAACATCTAATTACTGAATATCTGCTCTTATCTTTCGAATGACCTTCCTCTCCTTAGAAACGCCAAGGCGCCTTACCTCATTCTTAGCTCAAACTGCTACAATATACATACATCTCATGTTAACGTTGTTTCTGAACCTCTCATGTATGTGGAGTCTTTAACTCTCACGTATGTGGGGTTTCCGCCTATATGTATGTAATCAAATTTGGTTCCTTTTGTTAATCTATCTCATATATATTTAATTAGACCAGCTGAAAGCTAGAAAATTTTCTACCTCCACTACTGTGTACTATTTCAAATTTGAGTTTTCAAGTTTAAAAAGTTTGAGTGGCAATGGTAGTAGGGCAGAGACAAAGGTCTGGTCCCAGGACTCAAGTCACGGATAAGAACAAACCAAACCAGGAGAATGAAAGGAAGCTCTGATGAAACCAAAAACCTAAAATAATGCCCTATGCAAAACTAGCACTCAATAAGCTGATTTTGTTGTAACTCATAAAGGAAACAGGACTTTTAAACTAAAATACCCCTGATTTCAGATGCTTCTTTTACTGTCACTCGTTTAATATAGACTAACGACTATACTCGACTAATATCTTTATCTTTTTCGCAAGTTTCTGCTGAAGGGCCTACTGACTCTTCCAATTCCAGAAATTCATGGCCGCATGCAAAGCTTTACCCACCCCGTAGTAACAATCTTGGACAAAGACTTCTAATACTACAAAATTCAAAGAGGCAAGAGCTTTGGGGAAGAAAGTAGAGTTTAAAAGCAGAATGGAGGTGGGGGCAGAGAGCAGATTCAAAGGATGTTTAATCTGATCACATTATTTACAACGAATAGCCTCCAATTGACTGTCCTGCATAAGCACGGCCAAATAAACTTTATTTAGCCTACCCCTCTTCCCCCCAAAAAATCATTCCAGTTTCATGACCACCCATCACGCTTCATTCACTTCATGCTTCAAACAGTGCTTTGATTTTTCTGTGCCTTTACACCTGCTGCTGACTACCTTAAATGTCCAGTATGATAAGAGAAAGAGGTTTTGTTTTTTTTCAATCCTGACTTTGTACCAGTGACATTGTCTTTTAACTGCTGTAGGCTGTTTCCACATCTAGCAGAAGGGGACCTACTTCAAAGGGTCAGAAGGATTGAGATAACATATGTAAAGTAACAGCAGGGTAGCTAGTATATACTAAAAGATTAAATATTACTTCCTTTCCCAGATTCTCTACATCTGATGAACTCCTACTCACTCTTCAAACCTTAGTTGAAATAATTGTTTTTGTAAAACCTCCTTAATTCTATGTTCTATTTACTCCCCCTCCCCCCAAATAATCAATTGCCTACTCTTTTGCCAGTCCTGTGGCACTTAGAGAAACCTCTATTGTATTTTAATTGCTTCTGGATGGTCTTTCTATCCCATTAGAGAATGAAAACCTCCTGGGTGGAATTTTTACCTAATTACTGCCTACTCCAAACCTGATAGAATCAATAATGAAAGTTTAATTAGCATTTGTCAAACAGAAAAATGAATTATTTCGTTAAACTGTTATAAACTAAAACCCTTAGAAATATTTTACTATACACTATTTAGAAAAAAAAATCATAACAATATCCTAACTTAGAGTTGTACCCTACCAGCAATGGAATTATTTTAATGTTCCTACTCACCATTCATTTAATTTATTCATCAACAAGTGTCTCCACAAGTCTTGGATACATCAGTGAACAAAATGAACAAAAAACTCTGTCCTTCTGGATCTTATATTTACCACAGGTAAATCTGTGGAAGAAATTATCATTGCAAACTTGTCAACATTTACTAAGTATCGAAAAGACAACAATACCAAAAAAACAAAAAAAAAAAACCACAACTCCTGACCACACATAAAATTTAACTACTTAAAAAGGTAGAATGAAATTAACCAAGATTTAATGTATCAAACAAACAAAACCAATTTAGTATCCCTAAAAATAATGCTCATGTTAGGGACCCATTCCCGTATAGCTAAAAATCATTCTTGTGACTTCTCTTTGAGAGTTTAATCTTTGTGAAATTAGTAATCTTTGTGAGTTTTAAGGATTTTACATATACAATTATATCCTTTGCATAGACTCTAATATGAAATGTGGTATTGTTCAATGTGGCCCATTATACAGCCTGTTTTACAACCTTAAAACATTCTTTATTTGAAAAGAAGTTTTATGAAGCTTTGTATCAGGGGTTCTACCCTAAGGGGTGTATTCCTCAGGAGTGACACAGGCCTTAGTAGGACCGACCTACGTCTCAACTGGCTGTACTGTCAGGCAAGCAGCCCAGACGCCACAGGGCCAGGCTGTGAGACACAGAGGCATCCACGGTTCCAGCACACCAACCTTTCCAATCTTGCTCTCCACTTCATCCTCTTTGTTGCATCCACCCTGTTCCCCAAGCATGCCATATGCTTTCCTTTCTTAATTCATTCCCTGGTTTAGACGGTCTTTTCCTCATTTCTTCTGTTAAACTACTATTCAACATTTTATTTTCATCTGGAATTGCTTCTAGCTTCCCTCTGCTCAAGGTAACCATGCTCTTTTTGAATTCAGCCCTGAGAACCTTTCTTATGGAGCTCAGCAAGTTCTAACTTGCTTCAGTTCCACCCTGCCACGCTTACTGGAGCATAAATGCTCCTCATCGTTCTGCTCACAACACCTGGAAGGGGACCTTACACACAACAGGAGTTCAATTTTCCTATCAGAGAGTCAATATACCATCCAAATACCCAATATTTGCCATAGCTAAACACTATGAGGCTTCATTTAGAGATTTCTACAAAACATTAAATTTCAAAATCACAAGTAAAATTCAGTCTCATGGAACAAATCTTCCTATATAAAACTGTTGTTTCTATGTCAGAAGAAACAAAAAAGGAGGTGCAGGTGTCCCAAGCAGAAAATGCTAAGAATCCTGATCATTTGACTTAAACACCAGGTGATTTGGTGAAGGGTCCTGAAGGCATTAGTAGTTCCTATAAAAAAGGTTTCACTTCAGCTGTACTTTTTGGTCATTCTGGACTTTAATGTAGCAAGGAAACATTTAACTGAGGGCCTAACCTGGCTTCACTAATTAACAGTACAATGAACAAAAGGCAGGTCAGTAGTGACAGCATCCAGATACAAAGTGTGATGAGCTGGATTTAGGTTCCAAGTTCCTACGTGAGTTGTACAAATGGGGCTCTCTTCCCCTGAGAGCCTACAGAAAAGGGCTGAAAAGCATAAATGTCAAACAAGTGGTGAATGGACAGAACATCAGGGACCCCAGGTAGAAAGGGCTTTTCATCAAGCCTCAGCAATAGGAGATAAATATGTCAACAGCACCCTAAAGGAAACAAAAAACGAATTATAAAATGAAATATTTAAAAAGCACCAGTGGTGTGTCTTAGAAAAACTAATAGTGAGATTTAAGTCTCACCCCCTCGCCCCCACACTTTCCCTCAAAAGTGCTTTCTAATAATACTGAGCACATTCCAAATCGCTTCTGTCTGCCAAGATCTTGCCAAGTGCACCTCCACCGCTCAGCAACCAGGGTGAAAAATCAATGCCCTGGGAACCTTAATCCCATATTTTTGAAGTAAACTGCAAATATCTATCCTGCTGTGCATTTATCCACATGGGGAGTAGTTCCTAAGTGAATTTAGAAAGTGAACATGACTTATAATAGATAATTTGGTTCCCAAAGGGAAAGCAGGAGAGGCAAAAAGAAGAGAATGGGTGAATATGGATTTAAAGGAAAAGGTTAGAAAAATAGAGGATCGAGGAATTCGTTTGGGGAAAAGGTGAAAGCAAAAGACAATGCAAAAAAGTAAACGCAAAAAGAGGGGAAAATTATACTCCACCTAAAGATAAATGACTAGAGAAGAGAGAAGGGGTAGCAAAGTATAGTTTTTGAGTCCTGAATTACTTAACTTTAAAATTAACTACTACTTTAAGACTGGTTGGGTTCGGAGATTGGAATCCTAGAAAAAGAAAGGAGCTAGCAGTGAAGAAACAAAGCAAGACAATGCAAAGACTTAAAGAGACCTTCCCTCCTACACTATACGGCAGCATCAGGTCGGGCTCGATCAAGGAAAAGAAGCGGGTGATGAGCGGGGGTTCTCGCAAGTGCTCAGAGAAGCAACAATCCGCGGATTCACCTGTCCAGGGGCTACTGAAGATTCCCGTGGGCTCGAGCCCCTCCCCACCCCCATACCCCTAGGGAGCCTTGGGGGCCGGATTAACCGGTGGGCAAGAGAAGTGGTCTGAGTATTCTCAGACCTGGCAAGACCCGACGGGGACCCTGGGAGGAGCAAAAGGAAGCTAGCGACCAGGGTCAGGGGCGGTGACGCCAGGGATCCCCGGGTGCCCTTCGCAGAGCCCGAACTCACCGATGCCAAGCCCTACGACCAGGCGTCCGGCGAGCAGGGTCTCCTTGCTGTTCGCTGCGGCCAGCACCGCGGAGCCGGCGGTGAAGAGGGCACTGGCCAGCAGGATGGCGGCTCGGCGGCCGAAGACGCCGTTGAGGGCCCCGCCAGCCAGCGCCGAGACGGCGGCCGCCCCCACCGTGCTGGACACCAGCAGCTCCTGCCACAGCGCGTCCAGGCTGAGCTGCCGCTTGAGCAGCAGCATGGCCCCCGACACCACCCCGGTGTCATAGCCGAACAGGAAGCCGCCCAGCGCGGAGAAGACCGCCACCACGTACACGAAGGCGGGGGTCTCGTCCTGCTGGAACTGCTGCCGCGCCGCGCGCTCCAGGTCCCCGACGCCGCCGCCGCCGCCCGCGCTCTGCAGGCTGCTGCTCGACTCAGCGGCCGCCAGGAGGCTGCGCTCCCCGGCCGCGCTCGCCGCGTCCGGCTCCTGCTGCTTCCTGCGCCTCTCGCCCTTGAGGCTGCTCAGACTCCGCAGCGTGTACTCCACATTCTCGCTCGCCTTGCGGGACATAGGGCAGCAGGGGCCCGGGGCTTCCCGGGGCGACGAGGCTCCGCAGGCGGGCGGTCTCGGAGGGTTGGACAGCCTGAGCGGGCAGGAGCCGCCGCCGCCGGCTCCCGCTCCGGATGCCACGGCAGCAGCCGCCGCCGCGGCTGCTCCGGGGAGAAAGTTGCTGCCCGCCGAGCTCCGGCGCCGGGGAGTTGAAGCCTGGCGGGTCTCACTCGAGACTCACTCCCCGCGCCTGCCGAGCTGGCGCTGCGGAGCAGGCGGGAGGCGGGTCCGCGGGTCACGTGCAGCTCGGGGCCAGCGGGGCAGAGCCGCGGAGATGCTCCGCCCCCTCCCTGGGCGGAGCCAGGCTCAGCCCGCCCCGGACCACACCCCCAGGTTGAGGGCAACTCAGACCCAAGCCTCTTCATTTAGGGCTGTGACATCTGTAAGGAATTAACCCTAATTTGGGGGCTGCAGATGGGGAGCAGACCAATGTGGGATTGCCAAGTAATAGGCTTCCACACCGGAGAAATGGCCTACAACGCTCGCAGTGTTTGGTAGGCTAGGGAGAGAACCCCGTAAAACATCATGATCCTCCTAACAGCCTAGGGATGGCCAAGGCTGGAAAAGGCCTTAAAAAAAAAAAAAAAAAAATTCTGGTATGGCATATAGCAAGCACAATTTATAATATTGTGAAATAAATAAGTTTGTTGTGGAGCAATTCAAGACTGTGTTCTTTTATTTCTATAACCAGTTTCCTCTCATAGCCAGTCTCTCCTCAATTTATGCTTATTTTAAAGGCGTGGTACATCTCGATGCTTTGAGAACAGAGATAAATGTATCTCCCCAGGTAAATCTCAAACCTCTTTCCGTGGATCTCTGATGTGTAAAAGAAAATTCACATTTAAACGTGTTATTCCTATATAATCAAGCAGTTCTCAGTGGTAGAAAGTAAACCCACGACTCTGATTGGTGATTTAATAGGGAATCTTCACCTCCCTCCCCACAACACGCTCACCAAAAGAACGGACATCTTCTCCTCTGAGAAATCCCCACTGTTGCCCTCCATTCGCAAGGGCAATTTTCAACTGCTTCATTTGCTTGAAACAAGCAAAAATGACGTTATTTGCGACCAGTTTTTCAAACTGTTGGGTTAACTGCCTGTTCGTTTTTTCCCTCTCTTTGATATAAATCATTTGTAAATCATTTCATACAGTTCCACTTCAGAAGAGAATCATGACTTTGGCGCTCTGATTTGCTTTCATTCTTCAGGCTGAGGGCAGGAGGTAATATGAATCATGCGATTCTATTCCTCACAATTTCATGCTCTTTTATTTTCTTTATTTGAGAAAAAGGTTTCTTATCCTGAGGCCTATTTTTCATGTCGTCTAAAAGTTTTTTTCTTTTAGAGTAAAGGATTTTGTCGTCCCTGTTTCAATAAAAATTATAACTTGTCAAAATTGCTTTCATATAGATTATTAGTTATGATTATCTCCCATATTATATCACTTCTGTTTCCAAAAACATGGAAAAATAATGAGCTCAAGGGACTTAACTTTTTAAACTCATCGTGTAGCTTCAAAGCCAGGCTCTCTCTTCATTCTTAGAGATCAGTTAAACAGAGAGCTTTCAGCTCTGGAGCAATGAACTTAATATTCAGGGTCAGAAAAGATTCAGGTGAGAACGCACCTTTTTCCATTCCTACATAGTAAAACTGCTCCACCTTGTGGTAAAATGGTTCACCGCTTCTGAAGAAAACGGCTCCCCAGGTGATTTCAGCTGGTAGTGTTGACAGTTCTCTCTTGTTGAGATGAAACAAACTGCCTTTTATTCCTAGCAGGTGTAGTAAACACCTTGCCTTCTGAGTATCCCTTGATGGAAATTCACCTTTTGTGCAACAGAATGCTCAACTAAAAATGGTTCCGCTCCGTATCATCATGGCATTTAAATACCTACAGTCGGGTTAGAACTGAAAAGAAATATGACATGAAAAAAAAGGCATCAGAGAGTTAAACAGAGTTATTCTCAGGCCACGGGGGGTGGGGGAAGCGAATTTCAATTTAACACCACAGCGTGAGTCTAAAATGGAGTCCCCAAAGCCTGCTCCAACTGCAGATTATGGTGAAATGGAATGCCCATCAGCTGAGAAGCAAGACATGAATCCCATCACTATCACTGTTTTACTATACATCTTTTGACAAATCACCAGATTAGCTTTTGCCTTGTTTTCTAATTTGAAGAGAAGATAATGGTGCAACTATACATTAACTGGAGTAAGCATGAAAAAGTATTTTGAAATACAATTAATTTCCATTGCAGAGAAAATAATAATTATAAAAATCATTATTGGTTTGCAAAGTGAGTTCAAAAGTCCCGGTTTTAAGTATATTTGCTTTAGCTTTACAACCTCCAGGAACATTAAGGATCCACTGTAGAAAATGGAAAGAAGAGAGAGAGGGGTTAGCTATACTGCTCCAGATCCTATCAGGCAAAGACATTTGTCATTCATTCAATAGAAGTTGTTGTTGTTGTTGTTTGTTGTTGAGAGGGGATAGTAGAGTTGGGAGCAGTGTTTTCTTTGTGTTTATCGAATTTTTATTTTTAATTTCACAAGAAATGCATCCTTGTTGCAAAGCAGTCTAACAATAAAGATAACACAAAAATTCCTTCCCAGTCATCTCTTCTACCTTAACAGTCCCTTTTCTCCAGAGATAACCCCTCCTACGACTTTGAAATGACTCTTTCCAGAATTTTCTCTATGCATGTATATGTATGCATTTGGATGTACACAGTAAAATATGCAGGTTGTTTCATTTGTTTTTGTACTGTTTAAATTGCAAAGGAAAGAAAACCCAAATCGAACTGGTTAAACCCAAATCGAAATTGTGGCAGAGGGAGAGGATTTATTGGCTCTTGTCTCTGAAAAGTTTATAGTATACTGGTTTCAGGTACAACGTGATAAGAGAATCAAACACCAGGTGTCACCAAGAAGAGATTTTGCTTCATCTCTTCACTTGGCTTCTTACTACTTAGGCTCCATTCAAAAATTCCATGTGGTGGCCAAATGGCTACAGTAAGTTAGTTCCATTCTCTATACCCTATTCCACTCATTTCTAAGGGGCGGAAAAAAAAGTTTTTTTCTCTGATGCCCTAGCAAACTGCCTTGTGTCTAATTGTATCTGTCAATTATGTGCCCACCTCTGATCCAATTATCGTAGATGGGAGACTGCCGCTTGATGGTCAGGTGAGGGCCAGTCAGTGCCCACATCATGCTTGTGCTGTTAGTGGAAGTAAATCATATAAGCTGAGATTGTTGAGAGGGATTCCTATAAAAAATAGGGCGTGCTATTTTGCCAGAAGACAGGTAAGTAAATACTGGCAATAAAACCAACAGATTTAAGTTACCATAAGTAACTAGTAAAGTAACATGGCTTAAAAGCCAAGTACAGCATTTCAAGAAGTAGGAAAGGGCTAAAAGAATCAAATATATTGCATAGAGATCTAAATGAATAAAACATATGAAGTCATTGAATTTGACTATTAGAAAGTCAATGGTGAAGACCTAATTAATGTACACCATGTTGACTACGGTTAACAGTTCATAATATATTGTTTACTAGAAATTTGCTAATAGAGTAGATCTTAAATGTTCTCACTACCAAAAAAAGGTAACTATGTGAAGTGATGGATATGTGAATTAGCTTGATTGTGGTATGTATATTTAAACATCACATTGTATGACTTAAATATATATAATTTTTATTTGTCAATCATATCACAATAAAGCTGAGGGAAAAAAGGAAAGAGAAAAAAGTCAATGGTGACTGCTTAGAATGAGAATGTTGTTTTGGTGGTTTTATGTTCAAAAATCTAGTAATACAAGAATCCTGTCCTATTGCTTATTCTTCATTTCTGTACATATAACAGACAATAGCAGCTTCAGAATAACCAAATTATATTGTAAATATATACAAAGATAAAGTGTGGGTCCCATGGCTTAGTTATAAGGTATATTAATATGCGCTTATTAGTTCCCCCCAAATCTTGCATTTCTTTGACTTGCTCTAAAGAGGAGCAGGAAAAAGATGGGATGAGAGAGGTAGCAATGGAGGGTAAGAAGAAAGGATGGTCAGCATATCCTAATGGACAATTCACAATCTAGATCTGCTTGCTACAGGTTGACAAGGAGAAGGAAACACAAGAAAGCATGAGGCCTTGATGATGTTTTAACACACATTGACCCTGCTCACTAATGACCATGACTCAATCACGGATAGAACCTGTAACACAACATAATATCATCTCCTCCTTCTTTGTATGGGCAGGGTTGCAATGCCTCTTCCCCCTCAGGGACTTTTAAGAGAGCAATTTCAATTAAAAAGAAATTAATGAAAATAGCAAATATATACTGCATTTTCTAAAAGGCTCTTGGTAAATGTAATAACGGAAAGAATAGCTTAAAGAATTATCAGGATCAAGAGAAAAGTGAAGGTATCAGTCATGCCTTGAATTTATTCAGATGCTGAAGTAAAAAGAAGAAATTGACAATTCAAGAGCCTGAATGATTGATAGAAAAAGGTTCAAGAAGGTAGGGAGGATGAAGAGCAAGATTACTAGGAGAGAGTCTAACCTCGTGATAGGTAGGAGGAGGAATACTTCCTCTGAGGAAAAGGCAAGCCAAAAAAAAGGGGGGGTAAAGGGGGGAGAAAGAAC